ATGTCCACTGGTTTTTTTCAGATGGGGCGTTGTTGGCAACTCGCATGATCCTGATGTTGAGACGCAGCCTCCGCTAATGACTTTTGCATTTTTTTTGGAAACTCAAGAAAGTTCTATTACAAATGAGGAAGCAACCAAACGTTATGAAGAGTACAAAATCGAATTTAAGAAACGGCAGCTACATAAGTTTTTCGTCGCTCATAGAAATGAAGAATGGCAAGTTTTGATCTCGATTTATATTTTAGAAAGTTTTAATGTACTTATGTTAAACATTTTTATTTATTTGAAAAAAAATTTTTTCATTAAAACTTCACGATCGATATATACATCCAAATTTCGTCCCCTCACTGTTTGAAACAGCTTATAAATCATAACTAGGTATAATTTGATTTGAAAAAGTGTAAACAGAATATCTGTCTATTTTCACAGCAAACATCCATGGCAATGGTCTCCGTTGTAATTCGAAAAATTTAACTTATTTGTATGTACGAGCGAGATCTGAGGCAACACACGCGTTAAGAAAATTCCCACTTAAATATTTTGACGTCTCTAATAACATTCACAAGAATATGCTGTAGGTTGTACTTAAGACGTCCTTTTTTCAACCACAATAGAATACTACTGAAGACGTACTTCATGACGTCAGAATTTAATCATCCAACTCTACTGATTTTTTTTTTTTTTTTTTTTTTTTTCATTCAATATCTGATTTATAATTCTTTATTAAACAAAAAATAATATAAACGTCCGTAACACGCGTAAAAGGCTGTTTTAATGTGTGTACGTTTTAAGGAAAAAATTTATCAGGTTTTCATTATGGAACATGAAAATTGTCCACTTTGTTATGTTGAAGTTCTTAAGGTATCTGGTGTTAACAGAAGCTTATTGTTGTTATATCTTCATTTACGTATCTATTTTCACAATTATTACGATAAACCTTACAACAATAATTATTTTTGTTCATAAAATCAATCTCTTTTTACACTATCAGGTTTCAACTTAAGTATCATCCTGAAAGGTTGGCCGAACGAAGAAAAAAGCAGCTTGCTGGACTCAACGTAAGCAGTTTATGTCTTGAAAATTTTAAATAAACCATAAACCATCCAGTTCACCTAATTTATACTTGCTAACATCCATTACAAGCATCCAAATCAAGATCAGACGCCAAATCAGTGTGGTATTCTCCACGTCAGAGACGCACCTCCGAATCACAAAATGTCCTACGAAGACGTGGGCTACAGCAATAATTCTTACTGCACAATGGATCCAGTTCTCGCACCGGTAGCCTTGGTCTCTCCAGAAGATTATGAGAAACTAGGAGTCCAGGATGTTGAAGCGTAATATTTTATGCTTTTTTTCATTATCATCATAAAAGTTTTCCAAACATTTCTGATTTATTCAATTACTTATCAGTGAGGTGGAGAAGTTTACCAAAGCACAAACGCGGGAGTCATTGCAATACAAATGGGAGTGTATGCTCTGTGGTAAAAAATTGAATGGTCCAGATTTTGTTCGCATCCACATTCTCAACTCACACGCAGAGAAAGTTGCGAAAGTTAAGTTTGAAGTCGAGTACTTTAACAACTATTTAAAAGATCCTTTGCGACCACAGCTACCCGAGCATCCGAAGATCGAGACACCCCCAAGAAACAACTCTATTAATTCTAGATATAAATTTTAAGAGCTGTATTTTGAGGCTCTACATCAAGTAATTAACACTTGGTTGAGCCAAAATCTGTCGAGTACGTTACATTTAGAGAGATTTTATCGAAGCGAGTAAAATCTGTATCATGTTCTAATCTTATGTATTTGTTCTAAAAATCGGCTAAATTGATAACATATAGTTTAACACATTTAAAACCGCTTAATTTAATATGGGCTAAGCGAGATCATGTCAATAAGTAGCCACTAAATATTTTTTTTTTCAAAAATCAAGCCCTAATTTGACGAATTTTTTTTCTTTTCTATTTTACTGTAGGAATTACTAATATTAAATGCTTTTTAATAGCCTTTTAAAAATTTTTTATA